ACCAGTTCATAGGTATTTTATGCAACATTTTTTACTCTTATTTCTTCGAACCTTCGATACAATAGAAACATGTACAGGGTGGCCAAAAAGTCCGGAAACGATTGAATATCTGGAAAAATACGCTACAAAACGGAATAAACAAAACACTAATCTGTTGATAATTGGATGAAGGTATCAAACGATACGAAAATGATTCCCCCCACACAAGCTTAACGTTTCGTTTTTTTTCACCAACAGGTGAATCCCCTCGTCTCTCTGCTGCATGTAACTGGAAGTCAAATTTCAGTATTTAATTAATTAGGAAACCCACCACGCCGATGGTGTGCTGGTAAAATAGCAAATAGCAAATGAGAAAAAAATCATCAATCAATCTGAAAGGAATCAATCGAAAGGTAGGTACGTATTTTATTAAACAAAACGCGAACTTTCATTAAATTGGTCGCTCCTCTTTAAGGCTTGATACAACTAAAGTTGGCCCCTTTTGCATTCACGGGGGGTGGATTGGGGGCATTTGATAGTTTCCTCCAAATCATCACATACAAGTGTGTTTTTTAAATTGAGTGTAATCGGTATGGAATCAGAAAATTACACATACACTTTGTTCTAAAAAAGCTGGCGCGCAAATTTTTTTTATAGTTTCGTCTATTTTTTTGCATCAACGGAGTAAATATCTATACTTTCATTGAAATTTGTAACATCGGGTCATTTTTTTGAAACATCCTGTGCATTACCGTTTTACTGAAATCCAAAATGTAGTCAATTCTTTTAAAACTGCTTTTTAGCGAACATTTGCTTTTTTAAATTCATTGTTTGATCCTAAGAGATAACAAAAGTACAGCATACTTTCTAATTGCGCTATGTGTTTTGAACATTTTTATGTAAGTAAGTGATTGTAAGTTTTTATTTAGTGTAAGAGCCAAAACTTATTACCTGAGAAGTGTTACAAATTATTATCTTAAAGTTATTCTATATTGGTCACTTTCTTTAAATAAATAGTGTTTTTGTCCCATGAACAGCACTAGGTCATTATAAAAGTGTCGTCAGTTTTTTGTATAATTTCGTATAATTAATAATTTTAGTCTCGTGTTTCTTTTATTGGATTGAAAATTTGCATGCCGTCATGGGCCTGCAGTGAAATTCGCTTATAGTAAACTCAGTTATAGTAATTTTGCTCTTATAGAGAACTCATTTTACATAACTTTAACTGGATATTCTACGACCAAAAATAAGGCGACCATATTTTTCCACGTTTTTCTATCCAACTCCTACCACTTATGAGAAATGTATCTTAAATTTAAAATAATAATTATTATATAATATTAAATTACCTATAAAGTTATAATAATTTTCGATATTTGATTTCTAAACTTTTGAATTCTTATTTATGTTCAAAACGTGTCGCACTTTAAAGTTGTTTGCAAGTTACTTGATAATAATGTTAACTATAACTGAACAATAATAAGAACACAGTTGTTAAAAAGCTTCTAATTGCACTAATAGGACAACAAAGAAAAATACAACAAAAGTAAATAGATTTGAAATTAACATAGATTCAAATAAAACTGCTAAAGAGCATAATTGTAAACAAAATTAGTACTTATGCACTTAAAAATATCATACTTTACTTAGATGATATGAATGTTTGCCTTACTTTTAGTCGTAGAAAATGCAACCTAATTTCGGCTCACTCTGTTTTGCCCATCATTTGAGACACCTTGATAACTGAGATTTTCTCATTTAGCATTCAAAGTGTATCGAGTATGTAGCTTAAAATGTCGTGTTTTGATTTGAGAAATTTAATAATTAAGAAATATTACATCTTTCTTGTTGCGAGCTCCTTGATGCAGTAGTAGCTTGTTCTGAAGCCTGCAATTGTCTAGCTAAAGCCAAATCGAGCTCCTCTTGGGTTTTCTTATTACATGGGCTGGAATCCTGCATAGACAGTGCCAACGCCCTAGCCAAAGCCTCATCCTCACTCATAGATCCCTGCACACCTTTGGATATATTCTGTTGAGCCTCAAAAATCCATCGTCGTTTAGCGCCCCGCCCCTCACAACTATGGTCTACGGCGTGTCTGTGTTTCAGGCAAAAGTTCAATGAGCAATCGTTGCAAATAACTGGAACCACTTCCTTGTTTTTGCATTTCTTATACGAGCACTTATTGGTGAACACTTTTCTTCTGGATTTGGCAGGGTCGCTCTGGCAATCCGAATCTATGTGGACGCCAACAATATAATCTGGATGTTGCCCCTTTTGCACTGGAATGGGAATGTTGCACAATGGGCACACTGGCACTTGGTTGTCTTTCTCGTAGGCTTTGAGGCAATTGTGAGTGGTATATTGAAAATGTTCATCACAGAATAATAGATCACATGCATCGCATTTTATCGGCAAAAAGTCCAATTTGTTGCAATGTGGTTTTGAGCAATGTTTTCCTATGTGAGGGAATTCCATTGTTGAGTAGAATTATTACACTAATAAATGGCGCGAGACAAAAAACAACTTTATTTGAAGGCGCACTAACAAACTATGAGAGAGTATCAGATCGAAGAGCTTTATAAGTTAAAGAATTGTTCCAGTAAATGTAGAGAAACATCTGGAAATTGATGAATGATGATGAATAATAATTAGTTGACAAAAATTTGAAAAATCACGCCATGACAATGACAACTAATCAAAACACATGGTGTTTACTGTTCCGCTGTAGTTCGGGTTTCATATCCTCCATTGCATATAAAATGTGTCACTAATAAAAAATAAATAAATACCAATCACTGTACAAAACATATAATAAAATTATGCATTAATAATATAAAACGGATTAGTTGAAAAAAAAAAATTGGCCTGATCTTAATATCAAGAAAACAAAAAAGACAGTACTGCCACTGACTCGTTTTCATCATGAGCTATCCTTTTCACCCAAAGAGCAAAGCCTACTGACAAGTGACATAAAAGTGACATTAAACAGTAGCTGGGCAGGTTATTTGCGACTAAAGATTAGAAGAGCCTTGCTTCTCCTTTCTTTAAGCATTAATCTGCTGCTAAAATGATTTTGGATAGGTAAACTTTGTACAAATCACTCGATTGAAGTGTACCCCAAATCCCAGAATGAACGGAGAGGACGAGCACGAAATTTGGTTAAGTGGATGGGAGCAGCAGTGCTGCGAGGCTATTCAAAATCAACCAGCTTACGAACAAAGTTTGGCAGCGGAGAATGAATATTTCCAACGACGAGTCTGGACAAGTTTTCAGGACTCCGCTACTGCCATAGCACAGCTTTATAGAGGTGGGTTTTGCATAATTTTTAACTACAAAGCTTTTTTTTAATCGAAAGAAAGAAAGGGCGTTTATTTTTAGTTTTACATAGACATTTTGTTGACATTTGAAAGTTATCGATTGAGAATCAGCTGTTGTCTTGAACAAATTAATATATTTTCTATATACCTATTGAATATTTTTTATATTATTGTGATTCGGTATAACTTGCTGCTAGTACATAATGGGCTCGATCAAACGCTTTACATTTTCAACGCTTATACCAGTTTCATTTCCATTCTTCAGGTAGACATTCTACCTGAGTTTAAAATATAACATTTCTTTATGGGATAAAGATTTTATACCTGAAATCTCTATCCCTCTATCAAATATTATCGAAATTACACAGCCGCTTATACAAAGACGAAACCAGTTGTGTTCCACCATTAAAAAGTTTATAGTTTTGCAAATTCTAAGAGATTATTGAGCGAAATAGAGCTCCTTTCAGCACACTCATTTTATGCGAAATATTGATTTCCGCACTTAATTCTTGAAATTCTTGTCTGAAAAACTAAAAAACTATTTCATTTGAGATACCTTTAAAATAAAAAATCAGTACAAGTTTTAAATTCAAGCTAAAATTCAATGTCTCTTGTCTGTACTACTTTTATTATAACTTTCGGGTACAACGATTTTTATTTACTTTGAATCACTAATAACAATAATTAGCATTGAGTGTTTTTTGAAATTTACCTGCAAAGTCTTGGTTTTACTGAATTTACTTTCATTTATTTATACTATTTAAAACTG